TGGTGCTGGTGGCCATCCAGTCACACTCCCAGCCTTGCAGACAGTGAGCCCTTGAGGAGATTGTGACCCCTGTGGAGCAGGTGATGGAGACTGCAGGGAGGAGAGGAGGGGCTCACAGGACGCCAGTCCTCACTCCCTGGGCTCCAGCATGCAGGGAGCTTGGTGAGGCTCACGGTGGAGACAGAGAAGAGGGTCCTTGCCTGGGGGAGCTCAGGGTGTTGAAGGCAGGAGGTTCAGATGTAAGAATGGAAACTGCTCAACTTGGAAGAATGGAGATAATACAGTGGGGTGAGAGTATGGGAGTGGAGGACTGGATGATTTACCTGGTGGCTGTGCGAGTCCTCTGGGGAGGTGGCAGCAGAACTGGGTCCTGGGGACAAGAAGGAGGCCCTGTGACACCTGAGAGGAGCCCTCCTGCATCTGTAGTGGCCCCACTTGGTAGATATCAGACCGGGGCTCCCCTGGCTTGCAGGGCCCTGAACACAGCAGCTGACCACTCTCTGGGGTGTGCCCAGCCCTCCCCCTCCTCACCTGCCTTCCTGCATTGGCCCTGATGCCGGAGTCCCAAGAGTACAAGGAGTATGAGCAGCAGGAGAGAGGCCACTGAGACCCAGATCAGGACATTCAGGTTCCTTCCTGGACCTTGGGCTTGAGTGATGTCTACTTTAGGAAGAGATTAGCTTCAGTGATGACCACGTCCTGGTGGGATTTGCATTTATCTCCTCAAACTCTCTCAATCTTGAGACATAGCCCTGTTGTTCACACTCAGGAAAGCTACAGATGAGAAAGTCAAGGACCAGAGAAGGACTCTCCTGCCTGGGTCCTGTCCACACCTGTACTTGAAGTCATGGCCTCTGGACTCAGGATGCTGGGGAGAGAGCCAGGGACTCTCCTGCTGGGGAGCTGGGTGCTGAGGGTGAGGGTGGAGTCCCCAGAGGGTCCTGTGGATGATCCTGGAGGGTGCTGGGTGCTAGGACTCGGGGATTCTGGCAATGAAGATAAGAGAATGTGATGGTCAGGATGAAGCTGGACACTGCCCACTGCTGTCTGCAAAACCACCACCACACAATCCCTGATACCACCCCTGCCCACAAACACTTTCTAAATGCAAATCAAAGGCCTTCTCAGGCCCACCTCAGAGGAACCCTGGGGACTTAGAGGAAACATCCTCCCTGGCTGCAATTCCCAGGCCCTTCTCCCTCCAACTAAAAAACAATATTGTTAGGGTTAAGGCATGAGTGACTCTTTGAGAGAGGACAGGGACAGGGTCTTCCCACCTGAGACTAGGAGCTCCAGGGTGTCACTGGGTGTGGACCACACTTGGGGATTTCTCCTGTCGGAGCCATAGCATCTGAATGCCCAGGTGTGCCCAGGAAACACGGGGCCCACGGGGAACAGGGCCTCGAAATGTCTGTTGGGAAGTTGTGAGTTCTGGGTCCAGGCAGGCTTGTCTCCTCCTTCCTTAGTCAGAATGAACCGGTCAAATCTTCTCTGTGACCCACACTGGAGGGTGACATTCCCTCCTGAGGTTACCACAGGGCTGGGCAGGGCTGAGAGGCTGGGCTTGCTGTAGACTCCTAGGAGAGAGGTAGGCAGCATGTGAAGCAGGCTCACATGTGGGACATTGTCCCTAGGGCTGGGCTGAGAGAGGGGACACCCCTGAGGACAGACCTCTTCCTGAGAGCAGAGCCAGAGGCCTTCCCCTTGAATGTCCTCTCACCTGTCACCACCAGCTCCAGGGGCTCACTATGCTGTGACAAGCCAGCGGGGCTGCGATAGAAACAGCGATATCGGCCTGCATCATTTTTTGTCATGAATGGGATGAAGAACTCAGCCTTGTCGAGTGAGATTGATAGTTCCGAGGTCTTCCACCCTCCTTCTCTGTACAGACGGTACTTCTGGGCCCCCAGCGTCCCCTGACACCAGATGCTCACAGAACTCCCCTGGGCGATCACAGAGCCTGGCATGGCCCAGAGCATGGGTTTGGGGAGGGAACCTGCAGGGAAGTCAGAGGCTGAGCCCAGGCCCTTCTCCATCATGACATCATTCCATGGCCTCAGCACTCCCCCTCAGCCCTAGGCTGCCTTCCCCCATGGATGCCAAGATCTCGAGCTCAGGGCAGGTCATGGGATGCTGGAGTGGACTCACCTGTGTATCTTTGCAGCCCCACTTTCAGTCTCAGTCCTAGAAGAGAGTTTTCTGTGCTGTCAGAGGCCCCAGCTGGGGCCGCAGCCGATTACCCCTCTCCACCCCAGCTCCCGGCACTGACCGAGGCAGAGCAGCACGGGCACTATGGGCATCATGTCGGCTTCTCTGACTCTCCAGCTCTGACAGAGGAGGCCTCAGCGCTGCGAGACACACAGATGAGCGGAAGTGGAAAGTCAGAGCTGCCCCCACCCTGGTCCCCACCTCTGTGAACCCACTCATAGGGGGCAGACAGCACTGCCCCTTTCTCAGGATCCAAAGCTCCACGGAGAAATCTCAGTGCTGAGCTGAGCTCTCCCTGGGTCCCACACCTTCCCCCTGATGGGAGCCCCAGTCATGAAGGGAAGGACCCCGGATCTGACTTTCATGATGCAAAAGCCAGGACTCCAACCAGGACACTCCTCTTCTGAGAGTCACCCTGGAGGGTCACTCTTGGGCCTTTTGCAAATATTTGCTTCAGGGAGAGTTTTCCCAGAGTCCAGAAACCCCTCCTGGTTGAGATGTGCATGTGGCCTGCGTTCTGAGTAGGAGATCCTCCACGGAGACCCGGCAACTGAGTGTTTATCCTGCAGGAACAGCACTTGGAGGAGACCTCTCCCGGGTCAGGGTTTCCTCTCCCTACAGTGGCTGTCTATAGGGCTTTGCTTTAGTGGCAACACACCAGCTGAGTCAGGGGCTGACATAAACGTGTGTTCCCTGCTGTGCTTTGATTCCCAGTTCCCATCTGATGTTTTCGTTCTAGGCACCTGAACGATGACCCCAGCCTCCTGCTTCAGAGCACCACTGCAGAGCACTGTGTCTCAGTCCTGAGGGCTGAGAGCGCCACTGGCTTCACTCCCCTGGGCCCAGGCTGTGGTGGAAGAGAGTGCTGCTCCATGAGTAAGTGGCGCCAGCTGAACCCCGTGTGGGGGTCTTTTCTCCATCTATGTGCTTTACCATCAAAACGCTCACCTGTGTCGCATGGAAGTGAGCATTGGTGGTGTCCACCTGAGGAGAAAGTGGCTGCTCCCGCTGCCCTGTGATGCATTCCCAGAAGGGCTGCGGGCTCAGCTGGGGCTCTAGATACTCTGCCTGCCTGAGGTTCTGTGTTAGACTCAGGAGAAGAAGGGCTGCAGGGCTTTGCCACAGCTTGGACAACAACGTTCTCCCACTCACAGGACCTGGGAGTAGTGAGCAGGTCCTTGTCCTGCATGAAGAAGGCACAGTGCAAGGGAACAGTGCTGAGGGACACAGAGCAGCGAGGCTCCCTCTGCTCTGCCCCAGGCAGGGCCACTGTCTTTGGGGGTCTCTGTTCACTGGGATGATGGCTAGAGCTGGGGAGAGGTCCTGAGGGTGAAGCCCTCCCGTGGCCATGGGGTGTGCACTGTGACTGCTCAGGAGGCTCAGGGTCTGCAAGCCAGGAAGTGCAGGGACACAGCTGGCCCACGCTCCCTGTGCTCCAGGCTGAGTCTCCCCAAGGGCCAGAGCTGCCACAGGGCCCTGGCAGTCGTGTCTGCAGCACAGAGCAGCGTGA